ATATATATATATATATATATATATATATTGCTTAAACCTCGACTTTAACTCTCTTGTGTTTTCTTTCTTCTTTTTATGTATTTATTTTTCGTAGCTCCAATAGGTGACGCAATATTTTCACATAGTAAAATCTTAAAGCATGTGCTACATGAGTAAGAGTCCAGATGAGCAATAGTGGTGGGATTGTGTGGTAATTTAATATGTTAAAAAGTAAATGATCAAATAATTTCTTTTGGACGTAATTTACATTTGATAAGATATATATATATATATATAAGCATAAGTCTCTTCTTGAAGTTTAAACAATTATTTAGCCATTGCTTTGCTAAGTGTACGAATCGTAGATCGTTTTTCTTGACATTTATATGATTTAATTTATGTTTCACAAATTCCTATGTTTAGTTTATTGTTCACTAATGTAAGTTGCAAGGCAATGATAGTTTTCTGACAGAATATGATATCTGAAATCTAAAAGACTATTTGAAGCTTGTAAATTCTAGCTTACATGTGCTGCACTGTGTACATTATTTTTACATGGTTTAATTTAATTTTGTTATTAATTTAATTAAAGATGTATAATTTTATATAATATAGGCTTTTCGAATTAAGGATAATTCGATTTATTCTACAACTACTAACCAGTTTGTTTCATTGAAGACATAATGCATATTGGTTATTAGGTGCATAAAAATTCTTTCTATTTTTGTTTTGAGCATTTAAAATTCTAAGTTAAATTTTGCTTTCATGTAACATATTAAAAGTTGTACTGTCAATGTGAAATTGTAACTGTAGAAAGCTTTATAAACAAATGCTTTTATAAAAGAGATTGTTTGTAAAAATGAAAAAAAAAAAAAAATGATTAATTCTAGGGCATGATTGAATTGTAAGCACCTGTTATTGTTAATGCCATCTGTTGAACTCTGTGCCAGAAGTCTGGCTGCCAGTATTGTCAAAGGTAAGAAAAATTTTCATAAAGTCTTGCAGAAAACAATTTTTAAATTAAAAATATTTCTATAGTATGCACAAAACGACAAAATCGTGCCATATTGTTACCTTTGGAGATAATTTCTGTGCCATCTTTATATATTTATCAGTTTGTGTTTTCTGATATAAGGTAAATTTTCATAGGAACATGAAAGGTAGTGCGTGCCCCATCCTCCCTCTTGCAACGACCTTGACCACCAACCCAAGCTGAAGAATTTGTGTGAGCAAGGAAACAGAAACATATTTGGTGTGAGCTCCATATATGGGCATTCTTTTCATGATACTAAAAATGTGAATAAAAAATTTAACTTAGTATACCTTACTGTCATCAAAAACAAATTATTTTATGATTAACCTTGACTGCCACTCTATATTTATTCCAACTTGAAAAACAACCTTGGTTTTAGTGAGTATACATTCTGTGAATGTATGCTGAGTAACTTAAAGATAAGTAAAAACTCTATCCTTAAGCAATTCACAGGAAACATATCCTGTCACATTGATTTAAAATAGGGAGATCTTCTCACGCTGATATTAAAACTAAATAATGTCAAGTTATCTTGTTATTAAGCTCTTAGCCACCATTTGGCCTATCAAAGTTATCAATTGCCCACTAATAAAAGCAATTCAGTCGATCAAATTATTTCCTTCCATCCCAGAATCTGTTTAACAAAAATTGTTTGAATTAAATTTAAATGAAAACCATATACCACACAATCAGACAAATCATTTCATAAAAGTATTACTTATCTATAAGTACCCTCACCAAATGCATATAAGCAGCATACTTCCAAACTATATGTATGGTCATTGTACAGCATGTTAACATACATTTTACAGATTTAAATCATATGCAAGTTAACCATTTGTGCAGCTCATGTTAAAGTGACTACAGTGTATACATATTACACACCTATGCATTCATTCTTATATCTGTATATACGTGAATGATTTGTGTATAAGTTACAACCAATATGCATGTTTTGCATCTGCTTTGTCCCTTTGATGTATTCTCACAGACTAAGTTCAACTATTTTGTATCTGTTAGGATTATCTGTAATATGTATGTTGTTTTTTTGTTGTGTTTTTTTTATTCAGAATTTGCTGAATTTGTGTAAATTTTACAATTTAATTATTTCCAGATATGTTAAATATCTGCTTTACAAGAAGCCCCTTGCTGTCCTTTCTCATAACACTGAACATAGATACTTGTCATTAATTAAAGCACCTTATACAGTACTTTATATTGGTGACACAATGGCATCAACAGGTCTAGATTGGTTCATCTGATTCAGTTTTCAGATGTTAACAGAAGAATTAATTATATTGTGAACCTTGAAATAAGTATTTTAATTCTAATATTAAATTTTCCACTGTTTTTTATGTGTCAGGCAAAAACTTCTATCATCCATGAACACTTGTGATGCAAAACTGAATTTGTTGTTAAAACTAGCTGTTTTATTTAAAGAAAATTGCAACAGTATCTTATTTTTCACTTTAATTTTAAATCGTTTTTCTATCTAAGCACTGACAAACCCATGACTACATACCAGAAACCGTTCATTACCAAATTTTGTGAAAATGTGGTTATTCTATTTATTGTTCTGTGTTCAGCTTATGCTCTTATCAATGACATATCTTACCACACATGCACACACATAAACATTCACTGATACTTTAGTACATCATCACCATTAAACTTAATCTCTAAATTTCTGTCACAAATAATTCTGTTGGTCTAAATTGAGGATTTACTGTTATCCCTGATAATGTATTTGCTATTTCTAGTGTTAACATTCTAGCATTCAAACTGATGCACTGTGTGCACTTCATCAAAGCCCTAATGATTTTTGTAACCCTAATATAGTCATCTCTAGTACTTTTACTCTTACAAGAAAAAAAGCTCACATCTTTGAGCTACATTCCATTGTTTGTATCTATTAAATCAGGTATCATTCCAGTAGTTAATTTCTATATTCCTTCCAGCATGTTGTCAATATCTTCCCTGTAGTAATGAATATAAAAAAATGCAGGAAAGAGTTCCATATGGCACCCCCACCCAAAAATTGTAGAATTGCCTGCATAAAAAAAGATTATGAAAAGGGTTTATTTTAAGGGGCGTATTAGAAAAATTGGGGCCGCATACAAATGTTTAAATAAAACTAGGATACAAACATGAAACTGTCAATCATTCTGAAAATTTTGTGGACCCGAAAAGTGGTGCATGTACAAACCTAATAGAGAATCGGTGGTGGTGTGTCAAAAGACAACTACC